CTCCTCTGCAGAGAAGCCCTCGTTCATGACACTTTCCAAAGGACAGGCACCAGGCGTGACTGTTGCTCTTTAATCACACTTTCTAGCAGGGTCTGAATGGCCGTCAACAAGGAGCTGTCCTGTCCAGCCCGTTGCTAGGCAGCTGCAGTTTACAGTTGCTCATCAAGTAACTTTTCAGAAATAACAAAGATTATCTGTTATAAATTTAGAAGCCAGAGTCTAAAATGTGCAAATTACTCTTCTTGCTCTGAGGACAACTGGGGATCTCACCTGCAAAGGGAGGAGCCAACCGTCCACGTCAGTGACTGTGTGGAAGCTGACAGGTGTCCGAAGTCCCCACTGGAGAGTCACCCGTTCCCAGGAAGCACCCGGACAAGACCTCCGGGCCCCAACACACGTGGCCAACGGTGCTGGAGCAAACCAGGCCCGCAGAAGGAAGAAACCCTCTCCTCCATAGTCCCCAAGCCCTGAATAAGCTCTGATCAAACCCAACCTGATCGAAATATGAAGAAAGAAAGTCTTAGAGTCCCTAAGGACATTCTACATACTTCCTTAAATACTACCTCTAAATCCCCAGGACACTGACTTTACCGCCACTCTGAAGTAGATACACCCCTCTTCCGGCCCCTCCCTGCAAACTTAGCAGCAGCGAGCACAGTCTTGCTGAACAGTCTCATTTCTAAATCCTTCCCGCTGACAGTGATCTATGCCTGCTTCCCGGAGGAGGGCAGGCGCGGAAAGCTTACAACCTCAAATCTTAATGGGCTTATGAAAAAGTATGTTGTAAGGAGACCTGCTTCTCCAGGTTTATTAGATTAACCCAATCCATCAGCTTCAATGCCGCCTGATTTCACTGAGAATCAGCACTGTGCGCCCTGGAAGGTTTGAGACAGCCACACACCTGTCACCTGGCACAGGTTCCGCACTCAGATGTGCTATCCACCCACCCAGGCGTGGCGAGTGACACCTCTGCAGCTACCGTAGAGTGTGAGGGCCCAAGGAAGCCTTCCAAAGGAGCCGGGAGGACAGGTCCAAAACAACTCCTGGGAAAAACGCAGGGCCGAGCAACAAAGGGTGGAAGCCACGGGGACAACCCTGAACCTGGTTTAAACTCAGCACCAATCGCTAAGGCACACACAACCCAAAAACAAGCCCAGGACACCAAGCAGGTGCAGAGCCTGCGGCACAGGGCACACACACACACCTGGCCCTTCCGACTTCCCCACTTCCACTGAGACACCAGGCCCACCTCCCAGGCGGCAGCTCAAAGGGCTCTCGTCCCTTCATTCCCCTATTCCTGACCCTGAACATAACAGATTTATTTCCGAGTTAAAATAGAGAACAAGATGGGCCGGCCCCATGGCTTAGTGGTTAAGTGTGCGCACTCCACTACCGGGGGCCCAGGTTCGGATCCAGGGCGCGCACCAATGCACCACTTCTCCGGCCATGCTGAGTCCGCGTCCCACATACAGCAACTAGAAGGATGTGCATCTATGACATACAACTATCTACTGGGGCTTTGGGGGAAAAAAAGGAGGAAGATTGGCAATAGATGTTAGCTCAGAGCCAGTCTTGCTCAGCAAAAAAAAAACAAGAGGAGGATTAGCATGGATGTTAGCTCAGGGCTGATCTAGCATGGATGTTAGCTCAGGGCTGATCTTCCTCACAAAAATAAATAAATAAATAAATAAAATAAAGAACAAGAGAACACGTACCAATCACCCTCCAGCCCCTCCGTCCATGGTGACGTGGAACCCTGATGTGGCCTCCATCGGGGAGAGGACACACACCTGTGGTGACGGAATCACTTTCACGCATTCTCTTCTGCAGGCACTGATGCTCAGACCTACTTCCTCAGAGTGACTCCTTACAAGGATGTATGTGTGACCTCCATTGTCCTCTCAGGCCAGGTGGCAGCCACGAGAGAAAACGTGCCCTTGGGACACTGCTGGAGGAGCCATCTGGGGGAACTCCTAGGAGGAAGGTGCCCGCACACTCAGAAGGCTGAGGGGTTGCTTGGGCATTCTGCCTGGGACACGCCTTTGATCTTTAGCAAATGGCAGCGCCCAGGGAAGGAAATTCTGCTCCACTGGAAGCCAAGGGCCAGTGCTGTCCTCCCCTCCACTGTGGCTATCCCACCTAGGAGGAAAGGCCAGAGGGAGCAGCTCCAGCACCTCTGTGCTGGGACCATAGTGAGGGCAGCGGAGAAAGTGAGACCTGTGTGCCTCTGAAGGAACCCTCGGTGAGGCTGCCCGAGTACCCGGAACCCGCCACCAGCACAGAACAGCAGTGTCCTCCAGGGCCAAAGGCTGCCAGCACTGGGGCAGCTTTCTCAGAGCCAGGAAGAGAAAGCCGAGCTCACAATTCACTGTCTAGAACACAGCACGGTGCAAGAGCTGTTAGACTTGAAACACCCATTTGATCTCCTTCCTGTCAACTTGGTGCCTGCTCTCATCCACTTGAAAGCAAAGCCTGCATGCCTCCTTACGGACACAGACCCAGCACGTCAGGGAATGGGCTTACGGGAAGAGAAGCAAGGATCCGGGAGAAATAAATGAAACAAGAATGCGCCCTGGCTGGGCCAATGACGCCAGTGAGCTTAGGAACTGACAACCTCAACACCAGAGCTGCAGACCAACTCCTCTCATTCGAGATATTAACATCCGCACTCAGGGTCTGGTTGTGGAAGGCGGATGAGTCCTTTCCACAGTCTGGGGATGGGAGCCAAAGGCACAGCTGGCATCCGCGTCATGTGGAGGCCTTGCAACCGGCTCCCACGGCGGAGGCTCCCTGGAAGCTGGACTGCCCGCTCCGCCCACGGCAGCCCACACGCAGTACTGCTTCTAGTACGGAACATGCAATGCGCCCACGGAGCAGGGGCCATCTCCCTGTCGTCTGGGCTATTTCTGGATTGTTTGTGCTTCTTAAATGTCTTTCTTCATGCTTGTGATAATGCACCTCACTCAATTCTGTGCCACCACCTAGCTCAGGGACGGGACAGAGCAGGTGCTCATCAGTAACCTTTTGTCAACATGTCCCGAGAGGACATAAGCTACCTTGTAAGAGTTAAAGCGTCACTGAAACCTATAATGGCCCAGCTAATAAACACCCCAGTTTAGGGGAGAGTAATCACCCGCCTGCCATCCTATGATTACTATGTATTTTCATTGCCAAAAGATGCAATACAATTTCATGGTTACTTGGGCCTGTAAAATAGAAATACCCCCAATTTTTAAGATATGAAAAGGTTTATGACCAGGGTACTATCACTTCAAGAATGAGTCCACGGTACAAATGAGTCAAGTCATGATAAAATTTAATTTCAGGAAAATTAACTCAATAAAGATGACACAATTGTGCTTAAAGTTTTAATACCTATTAGGAGTTTTTGCGAAGCGGTGCAGGACCATGGACGTGCAGATCAATTTCCTGGCTCCTCAAAATGTGACTGACTTAAGACCTAATTTACTTGTAATAGGAACAGTATTACAAGGAATTCTGTGTTCAACGAGGGGCCCAGGGTCCTGAACGGCCTAACCCATCACAAATGGGGGCATCCTCAATTTACGGGATATTAAGTTTTGTTTCCTGCAATGCTACCGAGACCCGATCAATAGCACCAAGCTGACGCCACTTTAACCAAACAGCCCAAGGAAAGGCTTTATGTCCCAGCAAATGCTAGCTGCCAGAAGTTCTGTAGCCGCCAAGTACCTAGAAAAGCAAAACCAAAGTGGGGGATCTGGATGCAATCTCCTGAGTAGCCATCATTTCTGTAGCAAACACCATTAGACATACAAGCTGCAGAAGAGAAAGGTAGAGTCAAAACACAGGCTTCAGAGCCACAAACACCCACAGACCCTGTGTGGGGCATGCACGCCAACATCGGGAACAAAGCTTTGGGTTACTGTTCTAGCTGACTCACGGAAACAAGCTCAGAGTGAGAGATCAGCCGGCCTGGAGGCCCAGCAGGTCAGCAGCCAGAGTGCCCCACCCCCCAAAGAAGAAAGCATCGTCCAGACCAAGGGCTCCTTCAATGGAGGGAGGGGAGGGAGCTGAGGCCCTTCTAGCCTGCTTGGGCCCCCGGCCTCCTGCCACCATCTTCATGGATGTCCACGCACAAGGGTCCAACACTGGAGCCCAACCCCGTGCCTGGGACTAACGCTGCCACACAAGGGAGCCTGTGGCCTGGAGCTCCCTTTCCCAGCCTCCAAAGGCAGCTGCCCCCATCCAGGGCCCATGAAGCGCTGATGCTCACTGCAGGCAAAACCCTGCCTCTCGGAGTTAGGAATGAAAACCAGCCTCCACGGGATATTCCATCCCTAGTCCACATAACGGTGCCTGCTACCTGCAAGTGATGATGAAAGGCACCCCCGGCACATGGCCTCAGCTTCAGCACACATCTCCAACGAGATGAAAAGGTGCTAGAACAAGCAATGGGACACTTGAGGGAACAAAGGTGGTTTGTTCCAGAAAACTCAATCTCCTGAAAAAATGACTTTCATCACAATTGGTGGAGAGTAGAAAATTTCATATTACACTGAATCTGTCAGTGATTTTTTAAAAATCGTTATTATAAGTAACTGAAAACACCGACAACATGTGCACCCGGAGCGTGAACAGTGCCCGCAGATGCACCTCAGACTCACCGGAGTTACAAGCAATCCTCACCAGACCCCAGGACCCTGCAAAATGTAAACTGCCAGCAATCACCGGGGACACCGTCACCACACAGTTGGAATGAAATTTAGCCACAAATAGAACTATAGAAAGTTCTTTTTTCCTGTTTTATATCTATTCAGATGACAAGAACACTACAAATGGACTTTTACAAGACCACATTCCAACTGAGAAGATGCTCTGAGGCAAAATCAAGTGCAGCACACAGACCAGAGCAGAACATGCTGGGAGGTGCCGGGATGTAGGGACATGAGCAAGGCCCCTCGGGGGTGGGTGGGGCGGGTCCTGGCGGCACCCTTGTGGGAGGGATGCCGGGAGCTCACCTGGTAGGTGTCCCACAGGCGGATGGTGCAGTGCAGGGGAACCTCCCTCATCAGCAAGTTGTTCATCCAGCGGAAGGCGAACTGCAGGTACCTCACCTCGTGCTGGTCCAGGTGCCGGTGGACTTGCTCTGCACGAAACAAACACAGGCCCCAGGCTGTCAGGGAGCGGCCCGGGGTCCAGCAGAGCCACGCCGTCCGCTCCGTGAGGCCCCGCGTCCGCCTCAGAACAACCCACTCCAACCACCAGGGAGCCCCAGGCAACATCCTCCAGGGAGCAAAGAAGTAATTTCTACTAAAAGACTTGACGTTCCCTCTTCCTCAAGGAAAACGACCGGTGGTGGTGGTGGTGGTGGTGGTGATGATGATGATGATGATGACAGCTCCTGCTGTTGAGTGTGCACACACTCAAGCAGGACTGCTCCTGTCTCACAGGTGAGAACGCTGGTCTGAGAGGCGAGCGAACACTCTGGGGCATGTGGTAGAGCTCAGGTTAACCCGCATCTGTCTGGCCCCACAGGCAGGAGCTCCTTCTCCAGCCCAGGGCAGGTCCACCAGACACAGGCTGGAGTCCAGGGAGAGAATGAGCTTGCCAGCTCCCAAAGACAACTTCAACCTGGCCCAGGGCAAATGCCCACCTGCCCCTGGACCCAGCCAGTGGGCAGGCAAGTGGGGCATGGCCCTGGGCCAGTGCCACTGGAGTCCAGGTTTGGGGCACTGTAAAGATAGCTAGGCCTCTGAGAAGAGCCAGGCTTCACCAATTGTCACTTCCCTGACGCGGTATTTCCCATCAGCCACAAAATCACCCCTTCTCATTGTGTTGCGACGGGCAGCGCCTCCACAGCTTAAGTCCCCTGCGTTCCCTGCCCAGACCTCGCTACCGAGCTGTCAGCAACCTGCCAGAAAGGCTCCAGAGCTCAGTGAAGTGCCAAGTCCGTGGAATCCTGGAAGTGTCACTCCAGGAAGCAAAGATCCTGGTGATCGTGGTGACTACACTCCTGTTTTCCAACATTCTGCCCCACGCAGTCCACTCTGAAGGGCCTGGGAAGTACGGGCGCTATTTTACAGAACAACTAAGTATTGCTTAATTGATCCGGATTCGGAACTAGGACTTTCTCATACTGATTCCTTTTAATCGAGGCCCACTCAAGTGTTGCTAAAAGCTCTTCTTCTGCACACATCTTTTCTTCAACTTCCTGACTCACACACAGGGTCCTTCTCTCCAGGGCTTACCTTCCCCAGTGGCCTCACTTGAGAAGCAACCCTAAAAAAGTTTACAGGTTTTTCAGTTCTCTCAAAGAAAGTTCTAGAAAATGGCAAATAAACAAATCTAAGAGAGAAGTTAGTGCTGTGTTGTTTACTGGTTTGTTCATACTTGTGTTCCTGATAATTTGCAGTACTGCAAAAACAAGGCTTTCCTAACCACTAAGCAAGAAGAAGCAGGGCGGGAGGGGGCGAGAAGACCCTGTCCTGACCCTCTTCATCTCAACGACAGCAACTCTGGTGGAAGCGTGAGTGCCTGGCTGGGAAATGCTCTCGCCTACAGGAGAGGAGGTTCTGTCAGGTTAGCCACAGAAAAGCTCTGGGCAGCTCTGGATTCCATGACTGAAGCCAGTTCCTTCACTGCCTCTGCTCTCATTGTCACCCCCAAAATGCTGCTGTCCTCGGCTCACCAGAGCAAACAGGCCTGGGCACCCTCCACTCGGCAGGCTGGAACAGGACACCTGCGGGGCTGTCTGGGGGAGGTGGGTGACTAAGGGATGAGGCCTCATTACTGTGTGGGGTAGATACAGCAACACACGATCAGTTCCAACCAGACAGTGACTATTACACAACGGGGCTGAAAGAGCCACAGGTTCACCTTTGAGCCCTCGCAGCCACGCTAGGAGCCAGGTCCCAGGGAGGCTGACAGACCAGGCAGTGGGTGGGACTGCAGAGGACCCCACACTACCGCATGCTGCCTCTGCAAGGACAAATGCAGGGACCGAGGGCTCCGGGTACAACACGGGGCAGGCCTGGGCCAGGGTGCCGGGTCCAGAAAGTCGGCGGGGATGGAGGGCCCGGGCAGTGAGGGCTCCTCCGGCTGGTGTCCACTCTCCCCAGATACTCAGCTCCTGTAGACAGGGCTCTTCTCCCTGGAGGGGCAATTCACGTGTCAGGGAGGGGTGTTGGTCTCGTTTTTGCTTTATTGAGAGCTGCTGGCACAAACCCATGCAAACATGATCAAAAGCTTCTGCATTTCTACATTAGCAAATCCCATCTGTCATCCCTGCCACCGCCCATGAAAGCCGAAGAAGCAGAACATTCAGGTGGATAAGTGGCTGGAATGGAGTGTGAGTCAGGGAACCCAGTGGTATCAGGGCTAAAGTCAGCTGGAAGCAAACAAGGCCACGTTAGGGCAGTAGGGACAGATTATCCTGAGAAATTTAAAATACTATGCTTATATCAAAACCAAAACAAATATGCATAAAACCTAAGATTTCAATGAAATTTCTTCTTTGCTCTGGGTCCCTTTGAGCTCCATCTTCCAAGCCCCCTGCCCAGAGACGAGGGCTTGTCCCCCGTCTTCAAGCACTCTGTGAAGTTACAGGGGAGAGCCGGTTGAGGAGCCCAGGCCTCAGCAATGGCCGAGGGACAGGGGAAGCACAAGGCCAGCTCAGGGGTGGGCGGGCCCAACACCGGGGCACAGTGGAGGCTGACGGCCACCTCAGGGGTTCCCAAACAGAGCTGGGCATCAGCCTCATCTCGGTTAAAACACAGGCTCTCAGGCTCATCCTGACTTTCTCAATCAGAATCTTCCAGGTGGGATCTGAGAATCTGTGTTTAATCAGCTCTCCAGAAGATTCTTCTGTGCCAGCCACATACCCGTGGTGGGAACCCCTCACGGGGGCAAATTACGGGAATCAGCACCCAGCAGGCCCCAGAGACAGAGGAAGACAGGACCCCAGCCCTCACACAGGTCCCCGGTGCAGAAGGTGTCCATGCAGGACAGAGCTGGTGTAACCCAGATGAGGTGCGGCACTGTGGTTCACTTGACAGTTTTCTTCTAACCAACTTATGTTTTATTAAACACATTTATTTTTAAAATAGACTTCACTAGGAGTTTCCGCTCGCTCTAGCGGGGGCGAAGTGGCGAGTAAACGGTGGACAGCATGGTGCTAGGTGGAGCCTCCACAAGCAGCAGCCCCGGCAGGGCCGGATCGCACAGCTTTTCACTGACAAGGGCCCAGGGACACACTCTCCCTGTGCCCCTGGCCTGTCGGCTCAGGGGCACTTAATGCCACAACGAGGTTTCATCTCAAGATGTCTTCAGACCCCACAAATTGTCCATAGTTTGAGAAACACTGGCTGCAGAACAAAGTAGGAATGCCTTAGAATGAACGTCCCTTCTCAGCCTTCTTTCCTGCCCCCCGGCCCCGCGTCTCCTCAGGCGACACTAGGCGCCCCGTGGTGCCGGACCACAGAACAAGCTTGCGCCGCCACGCCTCCAGGCTTTTGTTCCCGATACGGCCTCTTCCTGGGCCTTGCCCACCCCTGCTCAGGGCAACGCTACTCTGCTCACCGGCTGCATGCTCTGACACTCCCCACGTGCCCTGACACCCCCGAGGTCAGCTGTTCCCTCTTCCTGGTACTACAAGGACCTCTAGGGAAGCGTTTATCACAGGGTACTGGGCTTCACGGCTTAGGGTCTGGGCCCACCCCAGGACGTGAGCTGCTTCTGGGGCAGATACGTGCCTGGGTCACCTTTGTTTCTCCAGCCCCTAGTACACACTAGGTGCCTGGTGCCTAGCAGGTGTCTGTTGGACAGCTGAATGAGTAAATGAATGAGTGAATGAATGAATGCAGGGAGAAAACGTGTAAAACCCCTGATCTGTCAGTCCTCCCTCTCCCATTTCTCCACGCTGCAATACTGAGGAGTTTTTTCAGCAACACAATGGGACATTATGTTCCTTTTAAAGAATTTTAGAATGATTTCTAATCTGAAATTATCCGCAGCTACAAAACTAAGCCTCTGGAAAGTCCCAAGGGCCCCTGAGTGGCCCCTCCATCAGGCCTGACCTTTGCCCGTTCTCCAAGGGCAGAAGCCCCACCAGCACGGCTGGCTGGCCGTCCTTCACAAGGCCCAGGGACTGACACAGGGCGCTTCGGTCAACGTGAAATTCAAATCTGACAAACACGAGAAAACCAGCACTTTAGAAAATGACTGAATTTACTGAACAAGGCTCTTACACACAGAAGAAGAGGAATGAGCTTCCATGAATATGCAGTGGGCAGCTTAGGGAAGAGCTGGTGACGGCTCTGGAGAGAAAACCACTGCCTGGGAAGAGCGCGTCCAGGAGGGAGGGAGGACAACACAGGGGGCTCCAGGACAGGCGCTCCCGGTCCCGCCAGTCACTCCCAGCCTGCAGCTCCACGAAGACGTGTGGCCCGCAGACAGCACCCAGTCCCCACACAAGCGCTGCAGCAGGTCAGCGGCCTGGAGCCTCTGGAGCACAGTGGCCAGCTCCCCGGCTCTGTCAAGTCCCTAGCGCTGGCACACTGAGCCCCTACCCCCTCAAAGCAGTGGCACTGTCATATTTTAATAGTTGGGAAGGACTCCAAGTTTTGCTAACGTGGATTCAAGTGATTTTTTAACAGGTGACAGAACATTCGGACGTTTGTGACCTCCCCTCCTTCCACACAAGAACACACTGGTCTGCTACCTGAGGAAGCAACAGGCCCAGTGAGCTATGAGGAGCCACAACCTAGGCCCACTGGGCACCGGCAGGAGTGAGACTGGCCAGCGGGTTGACCCGGGACCATGACTTCCTCCAGGCGGGGACCTCATCCGGGACGCAGACTGGCCCAGAGCCAGGCCTGGCGTTGGGTAAATGCTCCTCACGTTTGTTAACCAAACAGAAGGAAGCCTGGAGCCAGAGGCGCTTAGGAGACGTGGACTGCGCACAAGTCGGGGAGGCAGACAGGGCCGCTGCGGCCTCCCCAAGCCAGGTCCACACCTTGCCTGTGGCGCTGCCAGCCCACTTAAGGAGAAGGGCGCCATTTTGTGAACCAGGAAAACAAACAGCTCTAATATGTGCCTGGGAGGCACACGACACCTTTCTAACGAAACTGGCAAGCAAGCAGATTTGGA